CCCAAGTTACAGCCTTTACCCCATGTGTGAAGCGTTGGATGGGAGCTTTCCCACTGCAGTCAAAGAGTTCTGCTGTAGTGTGCAAGCAATTGTGATCTGTTGCTTGTGTATTTGGGATTTGTGTGAGTGTCAGATTCCTCTCCTCCAGATATTGTTGGTCCGTGAGTCGCACGTCGTTTCTTTTCTTTGCTTTTCCCCCTTGGTACTGGGGTGAGGTTGTGATTCTCGGACCCGTGGGTTATGGGCCCATAATGCTTCCACAGCTCAACTCCGAGTTGGAACTTGAGGGGTGGATCACTAGATTCTCTGCGCACTAGAAACTTGTTTTTTGAGTGCAAGCGTCCTTCCGTCTTCTGCAGGCGTCCAAGGTGCTGATCGAGTTAGTTGGTGGTAGTGAATGCCTCGACCACACGTTCATGAGGATGGATGGGGAACCGTGGAAGCAACCACTACCATCAGATGATGGCAAATCTGTCACGATCGAGATTCAGGCAGGCCCCAGCAAGTCGGTTGTCTTGGCAAAGGATGACTCAATCGCAAAGCAGCATTCATTATCACCAAGTGAGTGTGACGATCCAAATAGAGTTCTGCGACCAATGCCACTGGATTCGTTCACCAAGCTAAGCACAGAGGAGTTGTTCCGGCCGTCTCAAAATGGGGATGGAAAGCAGCACATGCCAAACGGGTCTATGCGAGTTGTCGTCAGAATCGGCAAACCAGATAGTGACCAGGAGCGTGGAGCGGATGCAGCTTCTCCTGTGAAAGTGAAGATAGGATTCATGAAGGATTCCTCTTTTTTTGAGTCATCGGCAGGAGCTAAACCCCAAGGAGGGGACAAATCTGTAAGGAAAGTCGAGGAGGAAACAGAAGCAGGCAGCTTGGACACAGCAAACCAGGGTGCCCAGTCAGAGGGGTCTCAGCGAATGGCCAGCAGAGGACAAGTTGCTGCGTGACAGGCAGAATGGCTGATTGCGGAGGCAGCTTCGTTCAACGGTGGGTATTAACCTGTTCGGCTTTGGGGCTCCTGTCCCTAGATGTTTCCCTCCCTAAACTTTCTAACAAGCTGAATCATTGGGATGGCTTTACCTCTGTGTTTTTCCTTGCATGATCAACTAGCAAAGTTCTTTTTTTTTTTTTTTTTTTTTTTGTGTCGATGGATTGTAGTCAGTTTTTCATTTCTCCTTGAAATAAATGATTAAGCACAGCCATGCAGCTGCTGTTTCAGTTTCCTGGTCCACGTGTTACCAGCTTCACGTGTGTCACATGGGTTTTACTCGCCGGTACTTGGTGTGTGGCCAGGAATAATAAAACTACGGGTGACCCAAATAATGTAGCCAAATAAAAGTCTGATGATAGCCCGACTTCAGATCCAACTTGGAAAAATACTTTGCGCCGCCCAATCGCTCAAGAAGATCGTCAATACGAGGAAGAGGCCCCGCCTTCTTGACGGTTTGCGCATTGAGTTTCGGAAGTCGATACATAGTTGTAGATCTTTGTTCTTCTTCCGTACGAAGAGAACGGGTGCTCCATAAGGGGAGCTGCTAGGGCGGATCCAGCCCTTATTCAACAAATCATTGAGTTGTGCGCGGAGGACCGTAAGCTCCTCCTCTCTCATGCGATAAATGCAACCTTTCGGCGTCACAGCACCGGCCTCAAGAATGATCTCGTGAGAGATCGGCTGATCCGGCACCACACCGGTACTCGAAGATATCGACGAACTCGTCAAGCAACCGCACCACACGGGGGTCCGAAGACAAGTCCGCAGGTGAAGAGTCGGCTATGTAGGAAACATAGGCATATCTCGTCGGGCTGCTCGTAAGCACAAGTAGCCCGGAACGACTTGGCCGTTACCACTTGGCACCGGATTGAAGGGTACGAACGAGGAATGGTACACAACACTTCGGCGCCGAAGGCGTCGCGAAAGGTAAGAGTCCGCCGATGGAAGTTGACCATGTGATCCACACTTGCAAGCCAAGGCATTCCCAAAATAATGTCGAAGTCCGTGTCCAAAATGTCAAATGTCACCGGTTCGCGTGCATGAGGTGCGAAATACACCGGTACAACCTCGATGTAGCGGTCGAGAAGTTGCTGCATCCTTTTGTCCACCAACTTGATCGCCGTTGGGTTTGCCTTCCTCCGAACGTGTGCGCCAAGGCCAGCCCTTTGCATAAAGGCTTGGCTCATGAAATTGCGAGACGCGCCGCTATCCAGCAAAGTGATGCAGGACACTTGCCCAACTTGGATGCAGACATGGAGGAGCGATGCGTTGTTGTCATCGTACCGCTGCTTGCGAAACTCGCGGGACACCTTGGTAACATACGCAAGGATGTCCCCCACTGCGACTTCGTCTTCAGTCGGCGAAGTTGGTGGTGCATAGAAGGATAGATACGTGTGAAGATGAGCGCATAGTGTTGTGCATTGCGGTCCCGGCAAGCGGCCCGTGGTCGGGAGAGGAAGCCATGCGAAATCCTCGGACGTGAGCGGGTCCAATACCTCTATGTTGAACTCGTTGTCGTAGCAAACACCCTTACAAGGGTATTTGCCGTCCTTTTTAAAGGTCGCACTGGGTGCGTCCTTGATCAATGAAATACGCTGACGAGGTAAATCGCGTCAGGGCGCTTATCTCGGCAGCCTCGCTCTTGGCGAAACTTCGAATCGAATGTGGCCAGAGAGAGAGTGTGTGGGGCACGCATTATTGTGTGGCACTGTGAGGCGGTCGGTAGTCGTCAACAATACTAGGCTAGTGAAATGGCGCCAAAGCCGTGAGGTCCGGTTACTCTCCCTTCTGTAACTTCTTTTTGTTGATTAGATTCTTCTTTTATTTTATAAAGGTTAGATTTACTTCGTAACTAGTTCGGCCTCAGGCGAGATACGGAGCGAAGAGAATAAAACTTCACCTTGCACACAGGCAGGAAGTTTATGTTGGACGACGCGTCCAAAGGCGCGGGCCGCACGGCATTGGCAAACCTAGTATGAGGGAAAGTCGAAAGTTTGACGAAAATATGTCGAGCGCCCGACGACCAAGATACCAAGTAGCTACGATCCTAGGCGCAGGCGGCATCTCGGCGTCTTCAGACGGCCAGGAGGTTGGCCGATAGGGCGAGGTGGAGGCCTGGTTTGTGCGGGATGGCCCGACCACGGTCCCTCGAGTATTCATATGTGGGTTCGCCCCTACCTAGTTCAGACTTGGGCTTCGCCCTATTGGTTACGCTATCGGACTTTCGAGCGACAGGTTTGGGGTTTGAGGCCAGCAAGCGGCGATGGAGCAAAGGAGCGCGACCGGCGGAGACTGAGGAGTCGAAGGTCTTAAGGGACTATCCCCCTTGGTTTTGTCGGACGGGCCCAAACCTGGGTCCGACTGGGGGGACCACAAGGGTGTGGACAAATCCCCGTCCTCTTCAATTGTACTATTTTTAATTTTGTTATTTTTATTTTTAATTTTTTCGTTTTCCCGTCTGTTGACCAAGTCGGAGAGCTGGCTCCGATACCACCAACAGTGAAGAAATACCGCAAGGGGAGGACCAAAAAGAGCTTTGGAGAGGGAGTTAAAGAATGCTTGAAATTGCCGAGCAAGAAGCGGATGGAGGGGAAGGCGTGCGTTCCCGTCTGGGCAGGGGTGGACGGCGACTGTGTTGTCGCCCCCCTTGTTGGACGTGGGGTGCCTGCCAGCATGGGCTGCTGTGACCGGTATTGCGATGGGAAGCGATTGAAATCCCCACGGGTGGCCGTTACGGCAGTCGAGGACCTTGAGCACGCGCCTCATTCGGCGGGCCCGTTCGGGTTCTTGCGTGTTCGGGATGGTGACAAAATTCCTCTATCCTGCCCGTTTTGAAGCGCGGTCCGAGGATTCCGGATTCAACGAGCATGCGAGCGGTGGGTGATCAGCCCACGAGGCGGAAAAAGCCTGAGTGGCGGGGCCAGCACCTGCGGGTGCACCATCCACCAACCACGTTTTGCTGTGAGAGGTTTGAGCGTGAGCAGTCGTGTGGGATCGGTGCCGCTGGGCCTAGCTCAGCTGGCACACCCGCAGACTGTTGAAACAGGCCTGTGGGATCAGCCACAAGGCCTGGCTCAACTGGTCCACCCGCAGGCTGTCACAAAACAGGCCTGTGGGACCAGCACCCATAGGCCAAGCTCAGGTGGCCCACCCGCGAACTGTTGAAAAGCAAGTCTGTGGGGATACTGCCACTGGGCCAAGCACGGCTGGTACACCCGCAGGCTATCGAAAAAACAGGCCTGTGGGACCATCACCCGTGGGCATAGCTCAGCTGGTACAACCACGAACAGTTGAAACGAGGTCTGTGGGAGCACAGCCACTAAGCCTAGCGCAGTTTGGTACCTCCAGACTGTTGGAAAACAGTCCTGTGGGATGAGCACATAAGCAAGCCCAGTTAGTGTACCCACGAACTGCTGAAATACGGACCTGTGTTCGAACTCCATCAGAAAAAAAAAAGAAAAAAAAAAAAGAAAAAGAAAAAAAGAAAAAGAAAGAACTACAGTCCTGAATTACCTAAGGCAGTGTGGCTTCTGGGAGGTACCACGGGGCTCTGCCCAGCTTATGTCCTTCGGGACATCCGTTACAATTGGAATGATATACAGAAGATTAGCATGGCCTCTGCGCAAGGATGACGCGAGAATGGCCAAAAGGGAGGCGTATATTTTTCTTTTTTTTTTGTGTTTTTGTTGTTTTGGTTTTTCGTACTTCGTCCGTTCCATCAGACCGGCTACGAGCTGCATTACGGGGAAGAGGGTGAAGCTGACGACATCAGGGGAGAGCAACCAGGACGAGAAGAAGGACGACTTGGAGCGCGGGGCTGTCGGGAGAGAGGATATGGTGGGAGCATGGAATCGATATCTCCCACAATTCTCAATGGAATCGAGCGAGGTAAAGTGTGGGGGGTTTGCACAGGGCGAGTGCGATGGTCACGTTAGTTTCGGCGTTAGAGTAGTGGATGGAGAGTAAGTAGAAAAAAGAGGGTCCGCGGAGAAATCGAGGGAGACGACGTGGAGGAGGATGAGAGTAGAAGTTGTAACTTGGTCATTTCTTCACCGTTTTCAGCAAACTAAGATGCTAACTAGGGGATTTTAGGCGCTGCGAAGTGATTGGCCACGCTAATTTTTGGATGTGAGTGACAGTTTTGGCGATACAGGATGCAGAGGCTGCGCTGCTGTTCCGAGAGTTTCGAGAGTGACAATGTTTCTTTTGGAATTCCAGCGGTAGATACATCCCCAATTTGCACATTTGGTGAAGTACTGCTTCAGCTCACTATCGCAGTCCTTCTCCCTGACAGTGTTCTGCTGACCATTTTTTTTCCCCCTCTTAAAGCTACTCACCGTGGTCGCCACCAAGATCCGGCCGCTCGTTCTGCGTTTTGTAAGTTTCCATTTGGGCAAAGTACCTGGTCGCCTTTTTGGAGGAGGTTCAGATCTCAGTTATGTATATTTGGTGAGGAGTTGAGGGCGGGTGTAGAGCAGACATTTGCTGATCCTTGTGTCTGCCTTCTCCTAAACTTCGGAAGTTGAAGTCGCTTCCTTCGTCATAGGCGAGGTTGCATGCATCAAGCACAGTCATCCCACTCCCCCAAATACAGGTAGGTGCATCCCTCACACGGATCATTGTGTCAATCCCGCAGTTGTATACCAGGATCATACTGGTCTGATCTCACGGAAACACAGTTGAGCTCTTGTGTGACCAGAGTCGTTGCACCTGCGAGAACAGCACGCATTCAGTCGGGGATCGAGATTGAGTGCGCCGATCAGACAAGGGTGAGGAAAAGATTGAAGGACCAGCGAAGGAAGAGTAGCGGAAGAGGGAGAACAATGACGCATGTTGAAAAGGGATGTGATAGTGATGTAGGAAGGTTGAAGGAAGAAAGAGATCTGGCTGCAGGCAAGAAGAGTACGAGGGATTGAAAGGAACGAAGCCAAAAGCGGTAAGAGGAAGTGATTGAAGAGAGTGATTGATACTTACCTGCAGACCATCGGTGGTAAGGGAGGAGCCACATCGGCCAGAACTGCTTGAATCTGGCCGCGCTATCGGCCAGGATGCGTTGGAAACAGGAACAATCTAGGCCAGGTGAAGTTGGGCGCGTGCTTCACACCGTCTACAAGGGAAGGTTCATTCTCATTTTGCACAATTGGTGGCTAGCAGCACGGTGTGAGGAAACCCGGGGAGGGGTCACCTGCTGTTCACTGAAGCCATGGGCAACGATCCGCCCATGTTATAGCAACCCCGAAACTGGTACCGCTCAGCGCTCGAGAATTACACCCGAGTTATAACTAAAGTAATAATCAGTTGAATCGGGGAAAAATTACACGTGAATTTATAATTATCGAAAGTCCGTACAAACAGATGACATCATGGTGAATGAATAATTCCTAGTTAAAATCATCGCAAATAAACGTCGTTAAAATTGATCAAATCATAAGCAATCATTCGTTCTCCTCTCTTTTATTATTTTTAATTATTTTCCTCCTTAATTCTATTATCGATAATAATGACTAATGAGGGCGACCCCGTTAAAATTAAATACGAAGGAAATTTAATAGAATAAGGAAACCATTTTCTCTTCCCATCTATTGTTTTCAACTTTTTCTTCCATTTTTAATTTCGATATTAAGATTAAGGAAATTCGAGGTACCATTCCCGCACCAATAATGCAAGATAAAAGGGTCGTGTGAAGGCTTACTCCCGTATTCCCATCCCGCGGCTAGCTGCTTCGGGAATAGACTCGGAACAAGCGGAAGAGAGGTGGGGCACAGCGTGGTAGAAGCGGTAACTCCCCTCGTTAATTTGAGGGTTACTCTCAGTGGTCAGCACACCCAAAATTGGGGGTGCTCTGGGTACCCCTAATTTTCCCCGTCAGGTCAAACAAGAGTACCGTCAAAATAAGGTATAGTCTTCGGGTCGAAGACTCAACACCGTTGACGTAGGGTGGCCCACTGCCTGTGGCCGCCCGACAGCTAGCCCGGACCTCTTCTCGACGCCCCCGTCGAGCCCTAGCAACTTATGTCAGACGAAGCGGACGAGCTTCAGGGTGATGGCCCGTAAAGGACGCCCTCCTCGGCGTTCAATTGTCTTATGTTTCAGTTTGTTATGAGTCCTGGGGCTAAGAAGATGTTTCTTGTCTCTCTGTTTCTTCTGGCTTTTGGCCCCGGCAGGTTAGATGTACTGGCGGGTCGACACCCTTCTCGAATAACCATCTGTTCTCTCTTCCTAAAGCTAACCCTTTGACCTTACTCTTCTCTATTCTTTTTCTTTTCTTGGAACTCTCCCCTGCCTCGAATCGCCTTAAGGGGGCTCCATCCTCCATTATGGCTTTTCCTTTCCCTTTCGGGCTGGTCAGTGATAAGGCGGGCGCGGGCCTGGGCCTAAACA